CATTTGCTTCTACTCCCTTTGACAATTGTGGATAATACAACTGTGACTGTAGCTGTACAAATATCTCTTCAAATCCTAGCTTTCAATTCTTTTGGGGTATATACCCAGAATAGATCAGATGGTTTAATCATTTTACCATGATGCTAGATTAGTTCTGTTAGTATTTTGTGAAAGATCCTTGTATATTGGTCTGTAGTTTTGTTGTGATGTTCTTCTCTGGTTTTGATATTAGGGTAGTACTGGTTATATAGAATGTGCTAAGAAGTGTTTCCTTTTTTTTTTATTAGGAAAACTTTGAGACTGGTGATATTGTTTCTTCAAATTATAGTCAAAGCATCTGGTTCTGTTTTGTTTGCTGATAGCATTATGATTACTGATTCAGCCCCTTTATCTGTTATAGATCTGTTCAGATTTTCTGTTTCTTTTTGAGCCATTTTTGATAGCATTTGTCTTCCTGGGAATTTCCATTTATTCTAACTCATGTGATTTGTTATATAATTGTTCATAGTATTTTATAAAATTTTAAAATTTGATATACATCAAAATTAAAAATTTACAAAACATCAAATTTATATATATCAAAATTTAAAAAAATTTTAAATTTGATATACATGACAATAGAGTGTATTTTGACACATATATACATGGATTATAACTTATTCTAATTAGGATCCCATTCGTTGGTTGAACATGATGTGGAGTTTCACTGCTTGTGTATTCACATATGAACATAGGAACGTTATGTCTGCTTCATTTGTTCATAGTATTCTTATATACTCCTTTTTATTTCTGTCAGATTGGGAATAATGCTTTCACTTCTATCCCCGGTTTTAGAGATTTGAGTCTTATTTCTTTTTCTCTGATTTAGTCTAGCTTAAGATGATGTCAGGTTGTTGATCTTTTCAGGGAGCTAACTTCTGGTTCCATTGATTTTTTTTCTGTATTGTTTTTGTATTCTCTTATTTTGTGGAACTCTGCTCTAATCTTTATATTTCCTTTTTTCTTCCCTTTGTATTTAGTTTCTTTTCTTTCTGGTTTCTCAAGGTGGAAGGTAGATTACTGATATGAGCTCTTTCTTTTTTTTAAATATAAATGTTTGAAGCTGTGAATTTCCCTTGAGCACTTTTTCATTGGATCCTGTAAGTTTTGAACTGGTGTTTTCATTTTCATTCAATTCAAAGCATTTTAAAATTTACCTTGTGATTTATTCTCTTATCTACTGATTATCCAAGAATGTTTTCTTTACTTTGCACATTTATGGCTTTCCCCACAAATTTCTTCTAATTATTTATTTCTAGTTTTATTCCACTGTGGTCAGAGAGGATAATTTGTATGATTTCAGTTTTTTGAAAAATATTGAGATTTGCCTCGTATCTGAACATATGATCTGCCCTGAAGGACATCCCCCATGCAACTGAAGAGAATGGAGGCTTCTGCATGTGTCTGTTAAGTGTGGTAACAGTGTTATTTGTGTCTTTTATTGTTTATCTTTTGTTTAATTGTGTTATCCATTGTTGAAAGTGGACTGTTGATGTCTCCATGTATTTCTGCCTTTATTTTATTTTTTTTGGTAGTGGGGATTGAACCGGGGACACTTTATCTTTGAGCTACACCCCCCAGTCCTTTTTTGTTTTTATTTTGAGACAGGGTCTCTCTAAGTTGCTGAGTCTAGCCTTGAACTTGTGATCTTCCTGTCTTCAGTTTCCACATTGCTGGGTTTATAGGCATGTGACACCCCACCCCATGGACTGTCTCAATCACTGACTGACTTTTTCTTTCTTTTTGTGCTGGAGATTAAACCCAGTGCATGCTTATACCACTGAGTTACCCATTCAGCACTGATATGAACTCTTTTCAGTCTTTTTTTGTTTGTTTGTTTCTGAAGTAAGTCTCTTGAGACAGCATATAGTAGATCATTTAAAAAAAAAAAAATCTATCCTGCCAATCTTCTCCCCTCCATTTCAGTACTGGAGGTTTAACTCAAAGGCACTTAACCATTGAGTTACCCTCCTTTTTATTTACATCCCTTACTCTCCCTAAATTGTCGAGGCCGGCCTTGAACTTGCCATCCTCCTGCATCAGTCTCCCAAGTAGCTGGGAATACGGTATGCACCTCTGTACCGGATTCAATCTCTGCCTTTTAATTGGAGTGTGTCATCATTTTTATAGATAATGTATTTACAGATACAGAAGGGCTTCTGCAGTTTTGATGTTTGTTTTCTTATATCTTTTTGTTCCTCATTTTTTCCATCACCAACTTCTCTTGAGTTAGATATTTTTTCATGTAACATTTTAATCCCTTTTTCATTTCTTTTAGTATATGTCTTTTAGTTTTTTCTTGGTGGTTGCCTTGGGGATTACAGTTAACATCTTAATTTATAACAATCTAGTTCAAATTGATACCAGCTTAGTTTTAATAGTATATAAACTTTCCTCTATATATATAGTTCCATTTTCCCACCCTTAAGTTATTGTGTCACAAATTGCATCTTTATAATTTTGTGTTTATCACATTAGATTTATGATGGTTGTTTCATGTATTCATCTGATTGATTTTTAAATGCTAAGTCAACCATTCTTAGGATAAATCAAATTAATAAAGACGTATGTGCTAGTTTTTTTTTCTTTTCTTTCTTGGCACCCAGGGATTGAACTTAGGGGTGCTCAACCACTGAGCCACATCCCCAGCCCTGTTTTATATTTTATTCAGAGATAGGGTCTCATTGAGTTGTTTAGCACCTTGTTTTTTGCTGAAGCTGGCTTTGAACTCGTGATGCTCCTGCCTCAGCCTCCCAAGCCACTGGGATTACAGGTATATGCCACCACGCCCTGTGCCGTGATAATTTTTTTTTTTTTATCCTTATGATGCATTGGTGGTTCAGTTTGTCAACATTTTGTTAGGGATTTTGTGTTTCTGTTCATGAGCGATTCCTGCATGTGTGTATGTATGTGTATGTGTGTGCAATGTCTTTGACAAATTTTGGTATTAGTAATTCTGATCTTATAAGTTTTAAATTGTTTCCTTCTCTGCTTCCTAAAGGGGTTTTGTGAAATTGATGTTCTTTCTTTCTTTATGTTTGATAGAATTATCAGTGAAACAATTTGAATTTGGACTTTGTGTGTGGGGGTCTGTATGTGTGAAGAGTTTTGATAATTCACTAAGAAATAGATACAGTACTAGTCAGATATTCTTTTTTCATAATATGTCAGTTTTCACAGTCTGTGTTTTCTTAAGGAGTTAGTGTGATCTAAGTTGTCCAATTTATTAACATGCATTTATTAGTAACATTCTTTTAATGTCTGAGCTACACAATCTTTTTATTTTTATGAGATTTATAATCTTTTTTCTAGTTCCACATTTTTCATTGGTTCTTTTTAGTTATTCATAACATTAGGATTCATTTTTACGTAATTATAAAAGCACAGAATATAATATGCTCTAATTTAGCACCTAGTAATTCCTCTTCCCTTTCCCGTTCTCGTCCCTCTGCTGATTTTTCTGCTGTTTACTTGTGTTTTTTTTTTTAATTATTGTTTTGAGGATGTACATGATGGTGAGATTCACTGATGCATATTCATATGTGTACATAGAAAAGTTAGGTCGATTCATTCCACTGTTCTTCCTTTACTCTGTCTCTCCTCCCTCACTGTTTCTATTCCACTGATGTTTCTTCTATTTTGACAGAATTTCACTTGCCCCCCCTGCCTTTTTCCCTTCTCTTTCTCTCTTTGAGCAACATAATCTTTAAAAAAAAAAATGTTTATACTAGCAGTATAGCAAGCACTTATATAGTATTTTCATTTCAGAAATATTATTTTACTTCCCACATTTGTTAGGTAGATACTACTAGAATTTCTGTATTACAAGGGGAAGAAACCAATATTAAACTGAGGAGAGCTTAGTTAAGATCACGAAACTGGTGTATTAAGGTCTCAAATTGGAAGCCCGATGGCCTGGGTCTACAGTCTTTTTCTCCTAACTAGTATTTATACTGCCTTTCTTGGATGGCGAGATACCTGTCCTTCTCTTATGGAATTGTGCTATGTTCCTCCTCCTCCTCCTCCTCCTCCTCCTCTTCTTCTTTTAATTTTTTAGTTGTAGATAGACACAATACCTTTTTGTTTTTAAATTTATTTTTAGGTGGTACTGAGGATTGAACCCACTGCCCTGTATGTGCTAGGCAAGTGCTCTACCACTGAGCTACAACTCCAGCCTTCGTTCTTTTTAGATATACATGACATTATAGTGTATTTTGACATATTATATATATATATATAGTATAACTTATTTTATTAGAGCCCATTCTTGTGGTTGAATGTGATGTGGAGTTCTACTGGTCGTGTGTTTATTTTTAATTTTTTTTTATAGTTGTAGGTGGACAGCATGTCTTTATTTTATTTGTTTATTTTTATGTGGTGCTGAGGATTGAACCCAGGGCCTCATGTATGCTAGGCAAGTGCTCTGCCACTCAGCCCCAGCCCCAGCCCCCTGGTTGTGTATTTGTATATGAACATAGGAAAGTTATGTCCAATTCATTCTACCGTTGTATATGTTCTCTTTAGAAAACTTCCTTACTCTTTTGTACCTCTAAGTGGAAATATTTGTTTCTTACATTCCTGATTAAAACTTGGAATTCCTTTTCCTCATATAAACATTATTTATACATGATGGCTAGGCATAGTTGAAATAGAAGAGTTAATACTCTTCTTCAGTCACATAATATGTTAAAAGAATTTCTGAAGCTTCTTGGAGAAGTTCACCACAATTTATAATGTGAAACATTGTTTCTGTGGGAAACTGGGAAAGAAATTTATTTTAAATTCGCTTGCCTGAAAGGTTAGACTTCAGTTACATGGAAATTATATTTAATTTCTTGAAATCTCTAAAATTTTAAATAAACTCAGGTATTTAGTCATATTTTTAAAAAGGCAAACATAATTAACTCATACAGATTTGATTTTTGTTTCATTTTGATTACTTGTTGATTAATGTCTTTCAGGGTTATTCAAATGCTCAGAAGAATATTCTTCTTAAGGTGGATCAGAACTGTGTTCGCAATTCTTATGATGTCTTCTCTTTGCTACGGTAAGAAAATTCCCCCTAAATTCTTAAGAATCTTTCTCATTTTGAATTTGTGACATTTCCATGTGAAAGAATGTATGGGTGTTCTAGAAGCTGTTACTCGGGCTTAGCATTTTTTAGTGAAAACTTCATAAATTTTATAGCTACAGTAATTGAAGTTTATCTCTTTCACAAAGTCTTGGGAAAGCCCTTATCCCACTTTGGACAGTGGGGAAGAGTGGTTGGAAGCCAGTGATCTTAAAACAGGGACGTGAGCTATTTGTTGGTCTTCTGTACTCTAAACAGCACCATCCAGAAGTGCAAAATTTAGACTTATCAAAATCTTAACGGCCATAGCATTAACTAGAAAATAGAAAAGCCCTCCACGACCCCAGAGTTTCCACCTGATGTTCATCTTAAAAGAATCATCTTTGGCAAGCCAAAGGAGCTTTACATGAATCTAATGCTCAGAGGCTTAAGTGCTTCAGTTCTATATTTTTATAATGTCTGGGCTTAATTTTGAAAGATTTTAAATTTTTTCTTTGATTTTAAATGTGATAGTTCATGAAGGACATTTTCCCAGGGGGGCAAGCTACCAAAATAAATGCATTTTAAAAGAAAATTAACAGTGACACTCAATCTTTGTTCACCCTACTCAGACAGATTACTCATTGAAATTTGGTTTTGGCAGTATTTTTCTAATGTTTCCATAACACTTCATAAATTTCAGACCATTAGATATCCTTTATATATCTCCTAGAGGAAGAGTCCATAAGGATGATTGGAGAAAGAGCTGTTTTATAAACATTATAAAAATAGCCTTTTCTATGTGAAACTTGGATCTTATTATATGTGATGATATAGAGTTTGGTCACATGAATTGTGTAAATTACTCTTAGGGAACAGTGAGTTTTCACTAAGATCACTTTTGATTTATATTTAGGAAATGCCTTCACCTTGACTTCTTAGGATGTATAATAGAACTGTCAGGATTTAGTAATTTGAAGGTGGAGATAGAATGCAAGAGTTGTAAAAATATATACGTATTTTTTAGTCTATTCAGTTTGGGTCATAGTGAGTTTTAAGTCTTGAAAAGAGGAATGTCTAGTTGAAAATGTGGGTAAGCTGCTATTGTCTCGACCTCTGTTTTCCCTAGTTAAATATAGATAAGATATAATTATATTAAATATGTCTTCTGGGTATGAGATTGTGGGATTATATTAGAGAAACCAGTAGAATTAAAAGAAAATATCCTAAGTCAGGGAAAAGAGGAGGAATAGTGTAGCATCATAGAGGCTAAAAGAGGATAGTTTAAAGGCATGGGATGCTGTGGAATACATAGGAGAACAGGAGATGGAGAATGGCTGTGGGAGCCTGTGAAACCTGTGGTACAATACAGAACGCTGGAATTAACTTCAGCTATCCTTGATTATTCCCAATTCATTTAACTTCTCTGATTCTTCAAAAAAAAAAAAAAAAGTAAATAAATAAAATAGAAGCAGTGATGTTCAAACCTGTGATCTTCCTCCTCAGCCTCCTGAGTTGTGGGATTACAGTTGTGTGCCACCATGTCCAGCTTTCCATAATTTTTGCCATGATAGATATAGAGTGCTTGTTGGAAAACTTGAGCACCTGTCACATTAAATTGTTAATTGCTTTCTCTCTAGGTAGGCAATGTTGTCCCTGTCATTAAAAAATAAATAAATAAATAAATAAACAAACATTTTCTTTTCTTGGTTTATAAAATTGCTGCTACCCGATCTATAATTTTATGTGAAAACACACAGAATCTGAGTTCTTTAATATCACTTAACTCTAAAATTCTCAGTGCTGGTTGGAGTCAGGATGAGATCGCAGGTTGACTGTTCTTTCTTTCTTTTTTTTTTGAGAGTATATTCTAGTTAGTAACTCTCGTTATACTGTTGTGCCTCTAGTATTTATATATTCCCTCTAATTTTATGTGTATGTGTGTCACACACACAAAAAAGGGACTTTAAGGAGCAGCTAAACTCAGGACATTAACCTCTTTTAGATGGATGTGTTTTACTGTTTTAGAAAAACAATTACCTGAGATTTTATTCTGATCCTTTGGCCCATAGTTAGGAATTTAGGCTTATTGCATTGTTGCCAAAGTATTTGCAGCTCTTTCCAGATTTACATTGAGTGTGTGTGTGGTCATTGAACTTTTGCATCTTAACCCTTGAAAATTCATGGGTTAAATGTTTGTTTTCAGGTAAAGAGACATTTAATTAAGAGCCAATTTACTTATTGCTGTTTGATGCTTGAGGATGTTCACCACAAGGTGTCAATATTGTTCCTTAACTGGCATTTGAGATTTCATTTGTTTTACAATTTTAGAGGGAAAAAAGTAGGGGATTTCAATGGAATGTAAAGCAATGTTATACTGTGCTATAAAATGAGCATTTTTTGCAGAAGTTGATTTTTTAAAATATCACTTTTCCTTCTAGTTTGAGGAATGTAGGCTTATTAGATAATGTCATTCCCCCTCCCCCCCCATCTCATTGTTGATAGTGAGCTTCTGAAAGACTGTGAAGAGAGCTGGAGAGGCATGACGGTTGCAATCTAGAATCCAAATAATGGTGGCAGTTAGGCCAGACTGAGGGGTGAGAGTGTTGTCACTAATTATATCTGTTTTCTGGGATTTAAAGAGAATTTTTGGTGTTACTTTTTTTGTTTTTCCTTTTACACTTTCTAAAAGAAGTAGCTCTATTGAAGTGAGACAGGTAATGATTGTCCTGATTTTCTCCTAGTACAGTTATTATTGGTTTCTTTCCTTCTCCTTTTGAAAGTCTTGCTTTTACCAGTTTAGTAAGTGGAAGTATGAAGGGAAAGTCGAGGGCTGTGGTCCTTCCACCTAGGTTCTAATTCTGAGCCTGCCATGTACAAGTGGACTGGATGCAAGGCTTGGGATAAGTTACTTAACAGATATGCCTCAGCCTGCTCTTTTAAAATGGGAATACTATTTATCTCATAGTATTGAGAATATTATGAAAATTAAATAAGGTAAAATATTTGAAATCTCCTAGGACAGTTACTAGCATATACTAGATACTCAATGAATAATAGTTTTCTTCTGTCCCTTTATTTTTCTCACCTTGGAATTAGCTTTCTCCTTTAAACCAGTGTTCCTTTTTCTTGTTACCACTAGCTTTTTAGTTTTTCAGCATAATTTCCCTTTGTCTTCTTGCCATTCTATGTTTACTGCCTCCTCTTTCAAGTTACCTGTATTAATCCTAAATAGTCATAATAAAAGATGTTAACAGGTGAAAAGATGTTTAAGATGTGAAAACATCTTTTCTTACCCAAAGCTAGAAAGCTTCTAGAAGTAGGGAATTGTTCCATGGGGTTGTATTGTCTCCTCTCTTCTGTCTGATTGGCACCTCTTGATTAATTGTTGTGGTTCTTTAGGACTTTTCTGCATTATGCTTTCTCCCTGGTACTCTCTTCTGTGGCCACAGCTTCAGTCAGCATATCCAAATGTTAGAAACTCTCAAATCTATATCTCTAGATATAGATTTGGATTTTCAGTATGTGTTTTCCAGTGACCCTTGAGCATTTAACATTTATGTCTTCGAGGATTCTCAACCCTGATGTGGCCAGAGCCACACTCTTAGGTTTAATCCACCTCTTCCTTTTCTGTTCTCTGATTTGTCTGATGGTATCAGCACCCTCCCAGGCACCTAAGCTCTAGTAATTAATCTTAGTCATTTTTGTTTCTTTCTCCTTCCTTCAGTGATTTATTTATTTGGTTATAAATTCTCTTGAGTCTTCAGTGGCATGTCTCATCTATCCACCCTTCTCTGTTTTCACCTTTATTTTCCTATGCTATTTCTTGACCTCCTAAATAGTCTCCCTACTTCCAGTTTTTGTTACATGCAATTAAGAGCTGTGATTTATTCAGTATTAACTTATGCCAGGAATTACTCTAAATGCCTTACAGTAGTTAACTCTTATTTTTCACAACATCCTTATGCAGTAATAACTGTTCTTCTTCCTATTTACAGATGAGGAAATTGAGGCACAAAGCAGTTAAGTGGCTTATTCAGAGTCATACAACTAGTGGAGTGAAGCTTATATTCAATGTCAGGCAGTCTAGCTCCAGACACCATCATCTTAACCAGCACATTTCTTAACTTTATAATCTTCTATACTGCTTTAGTGCTGTTCAGCTGCCACATTGCTGCCAGTGTCATATTTTAAAAGATAAATCAGTTTTTGTCACTCATTTGCTTAGAAATCTTGAAGCCATCATGTTTAGAGTAAAGCTCACACTTCTTCATGTGGTATTCAAAGGACATTATTCAGTACTCCCACTAATGTCTAATTTCCCATCCTCCTACCCCACCAATTATCCCACAGTAATTGATAACTATCATTTTTTGAGCACTTAATGTGTTAATTAGTTCTTTACTGCTCTCTCCTTTATCCCAACATCCCCAAACGAGAGCTGCTTGTTTTACTGATCTATTATTAGTACTGTTACAATATGGATCAAGTATATTAAGCAGAAGATAAATGCTTTTCTTTTGATCAAACTGTAATTTCTTCAGGTTGTAGAGGGCTAAGGTTTTGTTATTCCTGTTACTGGTTTCCATTTGACAAAATGAGAGTTGTAAAAAAATCCTAGGCTATTATCTAGAAAGTGTTGAAAATGTAGCCTGTGAACTCTCAACTGCCTCTTTCTTCCTCATCCCTCCATGAAACATCTGGTGAGGTTTTCAGGATTTTGTGACTTTTTTAAAAAAAATTATTTTTTTAGTTGTAGATGGACAAAATGCCTTTATTTTGTTGTTTATTTTTATGTGGTGCTGAGGATCAAACCCAGTGCCTCACGCATGCTTGGCAAGTGCTCTGCCACTGAGCTATAGCCCCAGCCCAGGATTTTGTGGCTTTAAATCTTACATTTATATTGTAAGATTTTCTGAAAGATCTTTATTTGACTGTCTACAGGCAAATTGCCCTCCCCTAACTTTGATGGAAAAACTTTTACTTACAAACTTTCT